CCAGATCACACCTCCCCTAGGCTGCCTCCAGTTCACACCTCCCCTAGGCTGCCTCCAGTTCACACCTCCCCTAGGCTGCCTCCAGTTCACAACTTCCCTAGGCTGCCTCCAGCTCACACCTTCCCTACTAAGATGAATGCTCCTTCAAACTGTGAACCAAAGCAAACGCTTCCTTCCGTACATTTCTTGGGTATTTTTGCTGCCACAAGAAGGAAGACAACCAAATCATCATCTACCTGCCAGTGCCCTTCAGTTGTCCCCTGACACCCAGAGAAGAGGGAACCTCAGCTGAGGAACTGTCTCCAGGAGATGGGCCTGTGGGAACGTCTGTGGGGCCTTTTCTTGATGGCTGATGGATGTGGGCCGGCAGCCCAGGGTGGGCTGTGCCATCCCCAGGCAGGTGGTCCTGGTGTTACAAGAACACAGACTGAGAAGTCAGAAGACAGCACTGTTCCACGACTCTGCTTCAGCTCCTGCACTGACTTCCCTCAAGGTTGGAGTGTGACCAGGAAGTCCTAAGATGAGACAAACTCTTTCCTTCCCGAGTGGCTTTCAGTCCCCGTGTTGATCACAGCAATCATAGGCCAACCAGGGCAGGACTATTTTCTACCAGCCATCTAGGAATAGGTCTTTGTAAGATGGCAATAATTTGCATTCATGTAGCACATGAAATGGCTGAGAATGTTAAAGAGCACATCAACGGAGCCCTTGGGCTTGGCTCTCCTTTGCAGAGAAGTCCTGGGAACTGGAGCCTGAGCTACACTCCTTCATCTCTCCACGGAAGCTAACGGTTTTGGACAGCATTTCGCTCACCACCCACGCGGCTCCATCTCGTTCTGCTTGTAATCCAGCAGCTTCTGGTCTCCGCCCAGAGCCGTCCCCTGCCGCAGGCTCACCAGGCTGGACGTCCGCCACCAGCACCTTACGGCCTCTTTATTCCTTCTTTTCAACGCTTTTTCTTACTTTTCTTGGCACCCGAGGCTGCTGAAGCTGCTAAATCCAGAACTTTCCTCGAGTCCTTTGGTGCCTTCACCCACCTGGTGTTTGAAAGGCCTAAGTGAATACTCGGGAACCCACAGGTCACAGCAGGCAGAGAGACCATGCAGACCAGCACTGCTAGACGATTTCAGTGGCTTAAAATCCTGGGAATTCATTTTACATGTCTGAAAATAGAAACAAGCCGGTCCCCCTTCCATCTGTTCACGCATGGCACAAGAAATTGCGGAGTGAAAAGGATCTCACCAAGAAATAGCAAGAATTCCTATCTAGAAAAAAACACTACATTTTTAAAATTGATTTTTATTTAGAGGCCAGGGTCGTGTTGCCTAGACTATCCTCACACTTACTGTGTAGCTGAGGATGGACTTCTGATCCTCTCACATCTGCCTTCAGATTTCAGGCCTCCACACCCATGTATTCGGTGCTAGAGATTAAACCCAGAGTTTCCTCCATGCTGGGTTTAATCTCCAGCTTCCAGAAGAGATGTAGTTCTTAACTAAAGCTCTGAAGTTGCCGCTTACACCAGGCTGTTTCTCCCAGGGTAACTGCTAGGTCAACCCATTTAGACACAGCTTCTGTCTACACAAAGTTAATTCATGGAAACTCGAGAATCCAGAGCCTGAGAGTTAACGGGCGAATATGAAGAGATGTCGTCCTTAGGGCCCAGCCAATGTGATCCTGAATTGTACCCTCCCGACATGAACAATGTAAGTTGATCTTCCTGTGAAATTGTAAGCAATGACTATTTTAACAGAGCACACATCTAATCTGACAGACTTCCTTTCTTCTTCCCCCTGGCCAGCCTGTTTTGGGCAAGACCTAGAGTCTGCAGCACAAAGACTTTCTTTGCTTCTATTATGGGCAAACATGCACTGAACCCCTGTGTCCTTTGAGGCATGTGGCCCTGTGGCATGGAGCACACTCATGAAGCTGGGCACACTGGCTCTGAGAAGGGTGTTCCCCTCATCATGGTCCCTCATAAGGCTGGGGCACTGACCTCTTGCTTCCCGTTGCTGGCACTCCTTGCTCTTGAGCACAGGGTGAGAAACCCACATCCACGGGTGGTGCTTTCGGAGCTGTGGGAGCAGGTGGTGGGTGATGAGTCCCACTGTGCCTGCCAGGGCAAAGAGCACGATGCTGAGAAAAGGCTGTGAAGGAGAAAGAGGTCAAGGGTCAATGAAGACATGTTTGTAAATAACGCATAAACCCACCATCACTCCTTCCTTTCCCCATTTTTTTCTGTGTGTGCACGTTATGTCCGTGTAGTTGTACAAAAGATACATGTATGCATGAGGAAATCAGAGGGTAATCTTGGATGTCATTTATCAGGTACCGTTCATCTTATTTTTTGAGGCAGTCTCTCACCGGCCTAGCATTCACTAAGCAGTCGAGGCTGGCTGGCAAGGCTTACAAGACAAGCGTTCCACTGACTGAGCCAAATCCCCAGCCCTCTTCCCATCTCATAGGAAGATCTGCGTGCTGAGAGCTGCGAAGAACATGGTGGGGAGGTGATCCCTGGAAGAGGCTGGAGAATCCTAAACCCCCAGGAACACATCCCCAGTCCTTCTAGGACTAGAGAAGAGCACACACAGCTGATAGAATATTCCAGGAAGACGTGGAAGCCCTGGGTGTCCCATGTTTATACGAGCTGCAAGGCAGGGTCCCACGTGGCCCTTGCTTGTGCTTTTTCCCAGTAAAGATGCCCAAACGGTCCCTTCCATCGCTGCGACCTCTGTCTTAATCTAAACACAACCACTTCTCTCTCTACTGAAGGAGGTCTGGTGTCTGTTCCCAGCCCACCACACTAACGACTGTCCTTGATGACAAGCTGTCCCATCACTCTGAGAGACAAAACACCTCCCCGTGGGAGAGAGGAGGTGACACAAGGGGGTGGCCCAAATCTCCTCTTGAATAGCGTTCTCAGTGTGTGTGCTCCTTAGCCCTCTCCCTTGGCTTCTGCTCTCTCCCCAGAGTCGTCTGCCTCTCTGGGCCCTCATTCCATATCTGACCTCCACTGAGAGAATAGAAAGGGAGGGCAGAGCCTTGGGGACACCTACCCGTAAGGACAGGAAGACGGTGCTGGCACTGACTGCAAAGGAGAGGACAGCAGCTGCTGAGCAGACGACAAGATCCGACCGCAGGACATCCTTCTGGAAGGAGAAGGCGGGCTGTGAGGTCCGTTCTGTGTGGCTTCCTCAGCAGCCCTCAGCAGGTGAGTCAGCGGCAGGGTACCAACCTGCCACACCCATGCCCCAGAAGCACTGCAGAGGCATCATTCCCTAGCTGGCTCACTGGCTTCCCCTGTGGACATCCCAGGAAGAGCGAGGCCGGTGTGGTGCTGGTAGATTAGCATCCCTGCACTACCGTGGAAAGAACACAGGCATCTACACATAATAGACCTGATGTCCCTTTCCACAGCTCAGATGGGACACACAGTTCCACAGTCCTCTACCTCACAGGGTCTCACAAAGCAGGGCTGATGCTAACAGTCCATGACGTCCCGAGTGACCCTGGGTGTCAACACATCTACAGCTGAGAGACACCAAACAGAAGGCTTGCACACATTTCTTATACTTTGGACCACACGAATTGTACATTCTCATTCAACCATCAGATCCCAAAACAAATAAAACCAAGCAAACAAAAGACCACCGCTTTCCAACTACTTAAATACACATACAGCAAGGAACCACAGGTGAGTGTCACCCCAGCTGGCTTTCTTTTCTTGATTTTAAAATTTAAGCAATGTGTTGTTTCTTCCCTGTCATGATCCTGTGTCCAGCTCGATGCCGGTGTTAACATGTATTGCTGAGCAGACATGGTGGGGACACCGCGGAGAGCATTGATGCTGACCATGTGTAGTGGGGGAGACCACCTGTGTAGAGTGTTTCATCAGTGCGGTGGCTCAAGAAGACCGCCATCCCTAAACTATTGTGTGTCCTGTGCCTGATGCACCTGTTCTGAACTTCCTTCTTGGACTGAATGTGGGAGGAATCTGCCCTAGCTTCCATCTGTTGCAGTAACCAAGCAGCCTGGAGTAGGGAGATCTGTCCTAACATAATCTGTTGCTGAAGGACGTCAAGGAGGAACTGAAGCAGGAGTATGAAGCAAAAACCATGTAGGAACATTGCTTGCTGGCTCACTTATAACCTTATGCTTAGCTCACTCCTTGTGCAGCCCAGCCCACCTGCCCAGGGAATGTCGCTGCCCACCATGGGCTAAGCCCTCCTATGTCAATTAACGATCTAGACAATCCCCAAAGACAGGCCCATGTGATTCAAGCAATTCCTCAATCTACACTCCCTTCTCAGGTGACACTGGGCTGTGTCAAGTCAACAATTAAAACTAACTAGGACAAACAGTGATCTGAGATTTGGTTTATTTTAGCTCTATCTCCATCCAGGGAAATCTGATTGGGAAGCCTAGAAACATGTCTAGGCTCTGTTGTCAATCCTCATAGCTGTGAAACACCAGCCTCCCAGAGGGCGAGTCTGCCATTCACAGCATTTTCTGGTTGTAAAGATCGTTAACTTTCTTCTGTTTCTCTTTGGCATGAGTTCGTCATTCAAAATTACTAAATCTTTGTCCATAGGGAAGGCTAACGTTTTATGGAGTAGTCTCATTTAAAATTGTGTCCTATTTAATTGGCCAGCTTTCCTGTTTGAGGGCAATCAGTTCCACTGTGGGCAGGTGAGTCTGAAGAGCCGCCATTCCTTCTCTCCGAGGCCAGGCAAACACAAGCGCCAAGAGTTTTCATTCTGTCTCCAAGATGGAGGGCATGTTCAACAACACAGTAAATAATTAAGTAGAGATGGGTGGTCATATTCCAGACTGGATTTGAACTTGCTCTATCGCTGAGGATGACCTTGAGTTTGTCTCCACCCATCACATCCTGGGATTACAGTTGGGCACCACCACACCTGATTCACATAGTGCCAGGGAATGAACCCATGGTGTTCTGTGGAAGGCAAGCGATCTGCCCACTGAGCCTCAGGCCAGCCTGGCACACTGTCCTTTGCAGATGTGAAACACAAGCCATTGCACAGGCTTTCTCTACTTACAGACTGCTCTCCTGCCCACTTCCTTTCCTTATTCTAAGTTTTACAGCCTTGTTGAGGTAGAGTTGATGTGTTGAAAACATGAAGCCTGATGAGACTTTAAGATTTATTCAATTTATTCTATGTGTATGCATATTTTGCCTGCAGGCATGCATACCTGGTGCCTATGGAGACCAGAAGATAACAATGGATCCCCTGGAACTGGAGTTATGTGATGTGGGATTCCCCTTTGTATGCTGTGAATATGTTTTACTATCATCGGTTAATAAAAAAACTCTTTGAGCCAATGACAGACAAGAATAGAGCTAGGCAGGGAAACTAAACTGAATGCTGGGAGAAAGTAGGCAGAGTAAAAGGGAAGCCATGTAGCTGCTGCAGGATGCCAGACAGAACCTTACCAGTAGGTCACAACCACGTGGCAATACAGACTAATAGAAATGGGTTAATTTGAGATTTCAGACCTAGTTAGAAATGTAGTATGGAGCTGCGGGCAGGCCTACTTTTCATCCTGCCCGGTTCCCACATGGCTAGCTTAGCCCCGGAAACAATAACACACAAATTGTATTCATTTAAACACTGCCTGGCCCGTTATCTCTAGAGAGTTAGTTACTGGCTAACTCTCACATCTTGATTAACCCATTTCTAATAATCTGTGTAGCACCACGAGGTGGTGGCTTACCGGGAAAGATTCAGCATGCCTGACCTGGTGACTGGCTCCATGGCGTCTGCCTCATTGCCCTCTTCCCAGCATTCTGTTCTGTTTACTCTGCCTACCTAATTTTCTGTCTTGTCAAAGGGCCAAGGCAGTCTCTTTATTAACCAATGAAAATAACACATAGACAGAAGACCCACCTACATCATAGAAATATGCATAAGCTAATAGGCTGAGCAATGTTTTTAGTTAATACAGTTTCTGTGCCCTTATTTTGGGGGTGGGTGGCTAGGACATGAACAAGTAGTCTCCGCCAACAGTTATGGACAGCTGTGATCTGCCATATGGGTACTGGGAATTGAACTTAGATCCTCTTTTGGAGCAATGAGTGCTTTTAACCACTAAAGCATCTCTCTGATACCAGCATGATGAATGTTGACAACATCCCTACCTCGAAAACACCATCACTATTGATTGTTTAATTTAATGATTAAAAATGTAGATTAGCATAGTCACTGGCTCTGGGTTTCCTTTCTGGCATCTGCCCACTCTATCCCTCTCTCCACGCTATCTTTGTGAGACTACTAATCTACTCCATTTTATAGTTTGATCTCATCTTCATAATATTATATCAATGGAATCACACGCTGGGTGCTTTTAGTTTTTGGTCTGGCTTCTCTTGTTCAGTCTTAGTCACTGTTGTGGTGCTGTGAGGAGACACTGTGACCAAGGCAACTCTTACAAAGGAAGCATTTCACTGGGGGCTGGCTCACGGTTTTAAAGAGCCATGGTCATCACCTCAGGAAGCAGAGAGGCATGGTGCTGCAGCCGTAACTGAGGGATTTGCATCCTTCCTTATCCACAGGTAGCAGGCAGAGGGAGGCATGGGCTTTTGAAACCTCAAAGCCAACCCCAAGTGACACACATACTTCTTCAGCAATGTCACACCTCCTAGTCCTTCCCAAAGGGTTTATCAATTGGGAATTTAGCATGCAGATATATAAGCCTGTGGAGGCCATTTTTATTAAACCATCACATACAGTGATAGTTATTCCTATGTTTGTTCCAGGCTATTGTCTGTTAGAATTATTCCGTGTTGCTGGGAAGTGTTCTTTTGCAGGCTGTACTGCAGTGTGTTTATTCACACATGGACAGGCCTGGGGCATGCTCCCGGTTTTGACTGTTCTAAATAAAACTGCTATGGATAGCCAAGGAACACCTCTAGGAACATGTATCCTTCCTTCTCTTGTGTAAATATTTGGGGATAAATATTGGTTAGTTTATATGGAATATTGGGGCTTAACTTTCAAGGAAAAATTCCGAACTGTTTTCTAAAATAGTTAAAAGCCTCTGCATTCTGAGTACGTGTCCGGGAAGTTCCACAGTCTCCCAAGGACATATGAAATTTAGCTACAGGCTGGGCTGTGTAGTCTGGGGGTCCTCGTTGCAAACAACTGTCCCCTCCCTGTCGTTCTTCTTTATGTCCTCCTTTGTAACTTAAAACAATAAAGAAAAATCATCACCTGCTAATTCGTGAAGCAGGAATAGACTTGACTCTTTGTTTTCTTTGAAACGGTCCCTTCCTGAACAGCTGGCCTCTTAAAGGCTGTTAGGAAAGAAAGTCAGAACAGGGTGGGGGTGGGGGGTCTCCAGGCCCCATCTCCCACCTCTGTGTTTGCAATCCCCTGGGGTGGACTTTGAAGTACAGTGTGACACCGGAGTCGGCCTTTATTTTGTCATTCCGTTCGAATTGTTCCACTTGTAACCAGCAAGTTTGCTTTGTTGATTTATCTACCCCAACGCCAGGTGGGCAGGTCCCAGTTGATGTCCTCTCTTGCCCACTCTCCCCTGTCTTCCTGAAACGTTCTAATCTCTTAGTGGCACACCCTGGTGTCCAGTGAAGGGTTAGCACATAAAATTCTCCCCCCCCC